CTGAGAATAATAAATAACCTAAAACAGTGATTTAGGCACAGCTTGCACAGAAAATTCCAAAGGAGGGCAATTGCAGGTTGGTATAGCGGCTCCATGGAGTCAGTCATTATTAAGAGCTCTTTCTAAATGTCTAGCTTGTAGCCTTCATTTTTATGCTAACAAAGTGGCTATAGGAGCTCCAGTCATCACTCCTATATTCCAAACATGAAGAAATTGACATAGGAAGATGGAGGCAGAAGAAGGCAAGCCAACCATACCTTCTCCTTTTAAAGGTCTTCCCTGGAAGCTCTATTCGGAATTTCTACTTTTCTATCATTGGTTTTGTGTCCTATGGCTACTTTTATAGATGAGCCTGACTTTTAGCTGGGCCCATTGTTGTTATGAACAGAATTGGAAATCTGTTAACATGGAACCCAACTAGTGAGTTTCTTGAAAAATATAAATGAATCCATCCAATGGGATCCTTCCCCAGTGACAGACTCTCCCTGGGAACCTCACTGTGTTACAGAAGCTGGGAACATCTCAAGGAAGATAAGAAGAGGTCAGGAGGTGGCAGGAGCCAGGGAGACTGTTTCTTGGGGATCCAAGATATTTGGCAAGAATACAGCTTGGCCCAGGCCTGGGGAAAGAAGAAGTCCAGGAATGGGTTGTAGCCCTGCTGATTTGAGTCTGACTGTGCGGGGTCCAGGAGCACTAGGACAAGAATAGAGGAATCCCAGCCTTGAAGTATTCTTTGAGCATCAATAATTCATGTTGTGCCCCTCTATGATTTTACTTCATAAATACCACTGAGGGTGGAAGAGCTACTGTTTTTGGTTTATTTTGGGGAGCTGCAACAGGAGGCAGAGTTATCAGAGAACAGAATGAGCAGGTATAGTTCAGCAGCACAAGGATGGGCTTTGGAACTGCATTCACCTGAGTTCTGATCCTGGCACTAATGCTTTCGATCCATGCGGCCTCAGAGGAGTCACCTACCCTTTGTGAGTCTCCTGCTTCTAATCTTGAAATAAGAAGAAATTAGTAATATGACCCCCATGTGCTTGTCATAAGAAGTGATGATATGAGGTAAGATGAAAAATACAATGAATTCTTTTAAAAAATTTAAATTATTACAGTAAAAGACACATTGCCATGAATCTTCCTCATTTCGAACACAGAAACGCAGAACACACATATCCCATTCTCCTTGCCACTTCCTGCACAGCTCTGGAAGTCCTCTTTCGTGAGTGTCTTTAGTTGTGCTCTCCTGGCTGCCTCCATGTCCTGAGACCCTCTGAAATGTTTGCCTTCTGTAGCCATTTTGACTGGGGAGGAGTCAGAAGTCACATGAGACCTGATCCAGTGAATAATGTGGGTGAGGTCATACCATCTTTTTTTTTTTTTTTTGTCTTCACGAAACTGCCTTGCGTTTGAATGACATTTGGCATAGCATTAGCCATATTTTTAATTACATGTCATATTCTCATGAAAGAGGACTTCCAGAACTCCCTCAAAAAGTTGCAAGCATGATGAGATAAATATTTTTGAAGGGAGGGTGAGGTTTTTAAGGGAGCTTTATAGCACTTTATCTTTTACTATAACAAATGTTTTAAAACTGCAACATTCACCATAAATTTTGATTGCACCTGGTAAGGTAAATCAAGGCCATCATCCATGCCCAGGTGAGGCCCAAGGTGCATGCAGGTCCTGCTTGCATTGATGCCGTGGCCCCACTCAGGTGTCCTCGTCAGCAGGTGCTTACTGTGCACTTGCTGAGAGGCTCCTCGGACTGCAGATCATGATCTGGGTTTCTGTGGCAGGAGAAGTCCAGGAGATCCAGCAGAGTGGGTGGAGAAATTAATTTTCAAAGCAGCAGCCATCAGGAAATGTTCTGAGCTCCCGATGTCAAGGAAGGCAGGTGGTGGGCTGCTGGGTCAGCTAAAGTGTACGTTCAAATGCTCACTTGGGGCAATGTTAAAAAAGCCCGTGATGGAAGATTTCATTTCTGCAAGTTCCACCTGCCTCTTGTATAAATGAAGATGCCCAGGATTTGCACCTTCAGGGCTGCTGTAGCTACCGTGCTCTGGTAACCTTGGCAGAGAATGTGCCCCTGACAAGTCTTGCCTGTTATTAGCAAGCTTGCTTCCCTCCCTCTTCACCCAGTGGGGCTGGTAGGTCTCAGGTTCTTTGACTCTCTCAGCTCCAGTGATATCATAAAAATTTTAACTGGGGCACAAAGTACACACATAATAACACTAGGTCAAAAACTGATACAGTGATAATATGGTTAATAATGAGCTCTAGGGTGATCATAGCATTTCAAGGTGCTTCTGCACACTTGTTCATTTCACTGGTTTTGGTGCAGATGGAAATGGGCCTGACAGCTCTGGGCTCAGGGAAGCAAACAGCAGTTTGCCTGTGTTGGCATCCCAAGTTCTCTAAAGAGCTTTGTGTCTCAGGTCAAAATTCCACATTTGCCAGTGACACAGGCTGTGGTACAGTGACTTAGTGTGTTTTTGTTTCTCATTGCTGAGAAGTGGACGAGTTGAGTAGGAAGAGGGGAGATGTCACAGAGCAACCCATGTTCCAGAAAGCCCCATGCTGGTGTACCATTTGTCATCATCACTGCCACCTCTCTCCGTATTTGTGCTAACTTTCATTCCTTCCAACATGCTTTCCCATGAATTGTGTCATCTGATTCTCAACCTAGCAAGAAGGCAGAGGAAAGCTGTACTTTTAGCTCATGGTTTCAGTCCGTGGATGCCTGGCTCCAAGGCAGAAGCAGCATAGTGGAAGAGGGTAGGTGCAGGAAAGGTGCTGAAATTATGGCAGCCAGGAAGCAGAGAGAGAAGAGAGGAGCAAAGGAGGGAGAGGCATCCTTGTGAATCACCAGCCCAGTGGACCCACCTCTTCCAGCCAGGCCCCACCCCCTAAAAGCATGCTCAGCTGTGAACTCATCAGTGCCCAATCTACGGAAGAGTACAATACCCCCATGATCCGATCGTCTTGTGCAAGTCCCTTCTATGAACATACGAGACTTTTGGGGGATGTACTTGATCTAAACCAAGACACAGTCTGTGCCCTCACAGTATCTGGGAGAAGATGGGATTCTCCTACCCTCAGATCTAGTTGTGCCTTTCAGAGGGGGTGAGCTGTACCAACACACACTGATTGGTGCTTGCTCACAGGTCTGGAATTTGCTGTAGTCAAGAAGGGTGAAGAGAGAAGAGGGTGGCATGAACAACTTGAGGTCAGGTTGGAGCACATCCTCTTAGATGTGATGAGGGCACAGGGCCTGGGGTCTGCACCGAGTATTTGCTCTCTGACCACACTGATGCTCATCCATATGGTTTGCTGCAGGGCTGTCAGCAAGGGCAGAGGTCTCCACTCTGAAGCTGGCTTCCATCCTTCCCTTTTCTCCTCCCCTGAAATTACACAATCCTGATCTTTGAGATCTAATCAGTAAAGAGAATCAAATAAAATAGAAATACTTTCACTGGACATAACGGTATATACAAGGTGTGATCAAAATAATGGTGTTTATACTTTTATAATTTTATTACAGTTAAACGACACATTGCCATGAATGCCCCTCACTTCAAACATACTTATCCCCTTATTCTTGCCACTTTCTGAAGCAGTTCTAGAAGTCCACTTTCATGAGTCTCTGTCCCTAATGTGATCAAAAATACAGTGAATTTTGCTGGCAAGTGCTATCCAACAAAAAGGCAGGTTTGTAAAAACATGACAGTGTGTCCTTATCACCTTATTCACCGGATCTGGCACCAGGCAACTTCTGGCTCTTCCCCCAAATAAAAATGATCATGAAAAGTAAATATTTTGAACTGAGTAAAGACAATGAAGCTACCGTGACAGTGCAACTCAAGACACTCCTCTGGTACTGGGAACCGAACTCACGACCTTGCACTTGCCAGGCAGGCACTTTTGCCGCTGAGCTAAATCCCCAGCCCCTAGACACTCCTAAAGAGGCCTTCCAAGACTGCTTCAGAAAGCTGGCGAGAAAGATGGAATAAGTATGTCCAAAGTGAAGGGGGGGAATTTTGCAGGGAATCATACCAATGTGTCTTTTACTGTAATTAATATATTTATTTTTGGTCCTGGGAATCAAACTCAGGATCTTGTGCTTACCAGGCAGGTGCTTGTGCCACTGAGCTATATCCTTGGCCCTTGTAATTAATTTTTAATTTCAAATTTTACCTTAGTATATTTTGATCATGCCCCATCTATTTGCTTTTTAAAAACACTTACAATGCTATTCTGGGGGAATCAAAAAGTCTCATTCTTTGGCTCCATAGTGTCCTCATCCTTAATGTGTCAGTGAGAAGGATCACAGAAAACTTCAGATGAGACATCAGGTCCGTAAAGCGCTGTCAATGGTGAATGGCTCGGATGGAGGGAGCAGCTGGGTGTGGGGCTGCCCAGGAGGAAGAGAGAGGAATGACCACACCTCTAGCTCAGGCAGTGGCTTTCATCCCTCAGAGAGCTGTTCGATTTGTTCTGCCCTCCAACCATCCATACCTGGGCATGTAAAACAAATGGTTAATGGCATCAGATGGCTAACGATCTCCATTGTCCCCTGCTCACTGCCATAAGAGCTCCCCAGAGGAATAATCTCAGATACTGTTTCCAAAATTGGATTGAATCATGTAGTAAACAGAAGGCAGATTAAGGCTGCAGGAGGAGCTGTGCCTGAGGGGCACTTGAATAGTTTTATAGGATCAAGAAGGCAGATGGACAGCTCATCTTCAACACCATAGCCATCAGGATCCGGTCCTGCTCCAGTAAGGAAATGATTTCTTTCACAAAAATATAAATGTTTAAAGGAAGGTCTGACCATCTGACCTTGAACTTTTAAATTGTGTGAGGACTGTCCTTTAGTTGCTTTTGCAAAATGCCTCTTCTCTGTGTTTGCTTAAGCAAAGATGCTGTCTGTCTTTGGGGCACCTCCTTGTGATTGCCCTGTTCTAAAACACCTCTTGTTTCCCATGTCTTTCCTCCAGCCAGTGAGACTTGCAATGACTTCCACCCGATGTTCTTCACTCACGACAGATCCTTCGAGGAGTTTTTCTGCATCTGCATCCAGCTCCTGAACAAGACCTGGAAGGAAATGAGGGCGACTTCGGAAGACTTCAACAAGGTAAAGTGGGGCAGGGGCTCCCCAAGTCATCCAAGGGGTAACATCCTCAGGTCTGTACGGTGGTCCCTCAGCTGCCTGTAGCAGCTAGTTGCCAAGATGAGAGAAGCATGAAGTGGTCAGTTGCTTCCAATGGGAAAACAATCTCTAGGGATAAGCTTGGACAGAGATTGATCCTTTTGTCTAAGCTTCAAGCAGGGGGACTCTTTCTTGGGAACTTTGTCCAGGTGAACGTCTTCCTCCATGGTGTTAATTTAGAATGCCTTGTCAGTACTGCAGGATCCTTGGGAAAGATGTCTTCACCTGTGTAGGAGACTGACCCAGAGGAGGACTGTGCTGGGTGGCCCCTTGGTTTCTTCATGAAATATAAATATGTTGAGATCATCTACCCTGTGCTATGTCAAAAGGAATCTCAGTTGAAATGAAAGATCTATTTCAGGAACTTGAGTATGCTTAGGTGCAGCATGTCTTGGTTATAGTAAACATTAGCTCTCTGGAATGGAGATGCCTTTCAGCTTTCTGTGTCATAAGTTCTCATAGTAGTGTGACTTTCCCATTTCTACAAGTATGTACATTTTAGGTGAAAAGAAAACTGATGACCAACTCAAAGGAACCACAGCCCATGCTTTAGATAAATGAAACTTTTATCCTTCCATAAAGGCCTGATCAGTAGAAATGCCATGGTGTATAACTGGTTTTAGGGTTGATCAGGCATAGCCTTTGGCACCTTTAATGTGCTTGGAGAGATGGCTCTGGAGGGGTCTGCCCCATTTACAGAGCCCGCTCTGCTGGTACTAAGGGGCAAAACCATCCGTAAGAGTCTTGACGATATGGTTTCACAGTCATATTGCAGCACTTTTGTGACTTGGACTTGGTGCATGAAATAGCATCTGAAATTCAGCTGCATTTATTATTTTTTCTGGCCTTTGCCTTATTGTCACCTTCTCTCTGAAGTGACTTCTCATCTTCTTTTTCACTGTCTTTCTGGTTTGTGGCATCTCGAAGCAATATTGCTTGAAAAGAAAGAAACTCAGGGAAAGGATCTAATCTTCAGTCAGGCCAAACCTGACTGTCAAGCTGGACATGATGACCTCACCTGCCCTGGTGGAAGCAGACAGATGCTGTCTGTCAGCCATCCGAATGTCTTTCCTTTGTGTGTTGCACCATAGGCTGAGTTCACGGAGATAAACCCTGTCCAGTGACCCTCATGCAGCACTCTGACCTGGAGCTGCATATTACTCAAGGAGGACAGAGGAGAAATACACATTAATCCCTTGTGATTATACCTGCCACCTCCCCAGCATGCTTCTCTTGATGATGAGAGACTTTGCAATTCAGGTGCAAATCATCTCTGGTAGAGAGGAGGACTTTGTACAATCAAGCTGAGACAGAGAGAGAGAGAGAGATGGAGAGAGGGGGGGGAGGGAGGGAGGGAAGGAGGGGGAGAGAAAGCAGAGGGAAATCAATAGTTTTTAAAAGTGGCTCTGGACACTGCCCTGGAGCAGCCCGACTGTGTGCTATGAGTGCCAGGCTGTGTGCCCAGTGACACCTTCCCCTCCTGAGGAGCAGCCCTCACTGTCACCGCCTATTCTGGCATTGTCAGAGCAGGGTCAGGGATGGGAAAGATGAGCAATTTTAATTTTCTATATTACATATTTTTGCTACATTTGCCTTTTTTTCCTGACCAGCAAAGTATATCAGGTATACACATTTTTATCACATATGTATTCATTTTCTATTCCTGCTATAACAAGGCACCACAAACCTAGCAGCTTAGATAATGCAGCTGTATTATCTTCTAATTCCAGAGTTCAGAGGCGACAAACAGGTTTCACAGGGCTACAAACAAGGCCCGGGCAGAGCTGTGTTTCAGTTTGGAGGCTCTGAGGGAGAATCTGTTTCCTTGCTTTTCCACCTTCAAGGTACCTCCCGCTTTCTTCTGTGCCCCTTTTCTCCATCTTGAAAGCCAGCATCTGCGGGTTCAATCCTTCTCACCCCACGCTCCATCACCCTGCTTCCCTGGTCTTCTCATTTTAGGACCTTTGAAGATGATTACCTTGAGCTTGGATAATCCAGGTTAATCACCTTCTAAGGACGGTGGATAGTGATCTTAACTCCACCTGTAACCTAAATCTCCATGTGTCATGAATGGTAACATGGCCCCAGCTTCTGAGGGTTGTAACATGGACATCCATGGGGGTCATGATTTGGGCCATGATGGTGTATACTTGATTTTTAGGTGGGCATATCAAGTTAAAGTAATAAACTATGGAAAGGCGAGCCTTCTGGTTTTTTGTTTTTTTTTTTCTCTGCTGGTAAATGTATTTCCAGACACAGAGTTTTGCTAGTGACTGCTTGAGTGCAGATACACTTAGGTCCTTTTCCTTCATATCCCTGTGCCTCCAATAGCTTTTTCTAACAAGAGGGGCCCTGTGTGAGAGCTGCTAGCTCACTGCAAAGACGGTCTTTCTGAGTTTTCCTGCCCCTGCCTATCAGCTGCAGTTCTGCTTTACCTGATAATAAATTGAAGAAGAGAGAAGTGCTGAAATTGAAATCAGTTCACTTTGCTTCTTGTTATTAACTTGGTAGCAGAGGAGATTGAATTTAGGAACAAATGTAGGTTTGGAGTTACTGGTAGATTTAATGTTTTTTTCTTGTTCCCTAAGACTGTTTCAATTCGAGTTCAGAAATATCTTAAAAGCGCCCAACATGAGATATAATTCCCTTTGAACTTTCTTGGACACCTCTCAGGTTCTCACCACTTTCAACAAAGCAGAGAAGGCAGATTTAATTGTCAATCCTGAGACCCAGGGCTCTGCGAGACAGCTCAGCTATCTGCCTTCCTGGGCTCTTCTCTGGAGGAGCAGGACACCTCAATTCAAAATTTTAATTGATCCGGCAAACACCACATTCTCTGAGAGGCAGGAACAGCTCCTGCCACCCGCCTTGCATTGTGGGCATCTAGTGCTTGATAGTTATGCCACTGCTGGGAGAGAATGTTTGGAAAAGCAGCTGTCTTCTGCTCTTCAGACTTAGGAAGCAGCAGATGGGATTTTTTTTATTTATATAAGAGCGGTAGAATTGGAGAGTGATTAAAATATTTATCCTTTGGAAATTACTTTCTTTCAGTTTCTCAATATAGCAGCCTGCAGAATAATCCATTGATTCAGGCCATTGAGTTTGTATTCTATGTTTTTGCCTTTTATTGCCAATAGTTTACAGTAGGCATTATTCATTTTTATGGGCATTAGAGAAGAGCTAAACTGTAGCTGGTTACCTCTGCATGTAAGTTGCACCATAATCATTTCACTGAAACCTTCATTTTTGAGCAGGGTAGGAAAAAAGACACCGTGATGGGTTATGTCAGGTACAGGAGTATCACTTAACATACGAGGGGGCCATAATTCACGTCTTGCTATCGGGCAGCTTCGAACCACCACTGGTACATGTATGACTGCCCTAACGAGCAGCATGGGACAGTCCTATCAGGTGGTACAAGCCACCCAGTGGGTCAGTCATGCATGTATGTCAGGTAGTTCAAACTGGCAGGAACATGTTAAAGTTTGTGTGACTGACTACTCCACTTTGAAGATCGGAACAATGGCTTACATATCACACTATGTACCTGTGTGTAGTACTGTCTGTCAGCCTTACTTGTGCATTATTATCACGTGGAGTCTGTTACCCCAGTGCCCAGTTGTATCATGGATCAATTAAATCATGGTTAGAAGCAAAGCTATCAATGAATATTTTCATTAAGGCAGACTGGATCACTAGAAGTGATTTGTTTGTATAGAATCACCATCAGTTGACATATGCAACACACATCACCACTAACTAGCGGGAATCCCATGCACTGATGGAGTTGTGTCTTTCGATCTGTATAAAATAGGTTCTAAGCCTTGTTTTTCTACTCAAGAGCTCTATGCCTGAATATTAATTAAAAGTAAAAAATACAGACAAGTGTCCCATCACCCTCTCCTATGGTGGTATTTGATAGTAAATTGAAGTAAGAAATGCAAAACTGCTTCAAGGACATAAAAACCCTATGCAGCTGTAAAGCACTCTTTTTGCAATCATAAGATAAATCCTGTCAATGAAATGTGAGTTGATTGCCCTTTTCAAAAGACCTTTTTCTTGTCCATTATGTTAGAGAGAAAAAGTATAGCAGTCTATGAGCCCCACATTAAGTTTTGGATTGAATTAATAACCCATTTAACTTGGGAAAAATAGGCTCTAAGCTGAAAATTTTATGAATTTTGGCCAAGTGTCCTTTCAGACAACTTTATTAGGTACTTTTGTTTCCCAAGGGTAGCAGCCTACTTATCAGCACATCTTGTGATTCTCACATATTTAGTGGCTGGTGAGAATTAAGGTCTTTCCAACTTGCTTGCCTAGACCTGTCCAGAAATGGTTGAAACATCTTAGAAATCATCAAAATATTTGTTCATAGCCTTAGTGTCATTTTATACCCATACAAAGCAAACATTAATAAAGCAAGATCACATGACTTTGCCAGACTTTGAACCTACCAAAATGGAAAAGGCTAGTGATTTGGGAAATGTTAGTTTAGAGTGAAAGGGCTATTTTGGAACTTTCTACAGCAGCGTAATAAGCTGAGCACACATGATATAGGGTAAAATCGTAGGCTCACTGATGAGAAACCATCTCTGATTAAAATAGCAGAGGCTGTGCACTGGGAGAAACCAGGCCCAACAAAGACGCAGCTGCCCCGGCCAGGCTGTATGCTCCTGAGTCAATGGGAGAAAATCTCAATTAGGCAGAATTAGAGAACAGACCAGAAGGAAGCATCCTGAGAATTCCCCTGGAAGATTATCCACTCAAAATAACCACCCACTAGTCACATGGAGTGGATTGTAATATGGTATAGAGAGGGAATCATGTTAGAAGCTCTAAAGGCAGAGAATGCATGAATGAAAAAGAAGGAGATGTTCTCTCTTCTAACTGCTCGCAGCTTACTGACTTTCTGTGTAATGTTTTCA